ACACACACACACTTATACACACACACACACACACAGAGATCTATATTTACCCCTCTCTTTAAAAATGCTGCTAATAGGATCAATTTACAATTCCCTTTAAAATATATTATACACACACACACACACACAGAGATCTATATTTACCCCTCTCTTTAAAAATGCTGCTAATAGGATCAATTTACAATTCCCTTTAAAATATATTATCCTTCTTTCTTCTGCAAACTGTTTCTTTTCAGCCAAGCCGGCTCTTTTCCTCTTAAGCTTAAAAGAATTAACAGGATGGAAAAATAGGATTATTTTTTTAAAAAAAGCATTCCATTATTTGATTCATTTCCAAACAAATAGGATGATCCAAATTAAGGCCATCAGAGTTCCCAGTATTTCATTCTCTGTTTATTCTTTGGGAACTTTGCTAGCCAGCCAGATTGATCGGCCAAAGGCCGGACCTTGAAAAAAGGTGGTGGGGGGATGTCTCATTTATATCAAATTATTGCTGCAACATATGCAAGGAGAGGGGCATTGAGGGCCTTAAATTAAGGACATTTCAGAAAGGTTTTTGGTTGGGAAGCCACCCAGAGTCACTGAGAATGAGTGGGCAGCCATATAAGTGAAAGGAAGGAAGGAAGGAAGGAAGGAAGGAAGGAAGGAAGGAAGGGAGAGAGGGAGGGATGAAGGAAAGAAAGAAAGAGAAAGAAAGAATAAAGAAAGAAAGAAAGAAAGAAAGAGAAAAGAGAAAGAAAGAAAGAATAAAGAGAGAAAGAAAGAAAGAAAGAAAAGGAGGAGGGAGGGGGAGGAAAGGAAGGAAGAAAAGAAGGAGGATGGAGGGAGGGAGGAAAGAAAGGAAGGAAGAAAAGAAAGAAAAAGGAAGAAATGAAGTAGGAGGGAGGGAGAGAAGAAAGAAAGAAAGAAAGAAAGAAAGAAAGAAAGAAGGATGGATGGATGGTGTACAGGTAGTCCTTGACATACAACAATTTGTTTAGTGACCATTCAATGTTAAAAGGGAACTGAAAAGTGACATGACCACTTTTCACATTTACGACTGTTGNAGAGGGAGAGAGAGATACTTCCAGTTAGGTTTGGATTCCTGGAACTAATCCCTGGAGTTTTCTGGGCAAGGTTTTTTCAGAAATGTTTTACCATTGTCGTCTTCCTAGCGATGAAAGAAAATGGCTAGCTGAAGATCACACAGTTGGTTTCATACCTGAGGTGGGACTAGAACTCACTGTCTCCTGGTGAGTGGCCCAAAATCACCCAACCTGCTTTCCTGCCTAAGACAGGACTAGAACTCCCCATCTCCTTGCGGTTGGCCCAAGGTCATCCATCCAGCTGGCTTTCGTGGCTAAGACGGGACTTGAACCCACGTTCACTTCCTTTCTAGCCTGGTGCCTTAACCACTGAGCGAAACCCACCTCTACCGTACATCCCCATCCAGTGATATGAGGGATTCTGTCGTCTGCAGAAGATTGGAGGAGGAGAAGACTTCTAGGGCCACCTCAACTTTGAAGGTTCTGTGATTTTCTCAAGGGAAGCTGAGGTCAACTTACATGATGAAAGCCGTCACGCCAATCGCCCAGATGTCCGTCTGCGGGAGGGCTCCCTTCTCTGACAGGAGTTCTGAAGCTAAAAATGCACACTTGTGTCAGGAAAGTGTCCCGCCATAACGTCCAGATGCATCAGATTCAGAGAGATTTGCAAAATTAAATTTTCTGCAAAAATCTGATGTATAAAATGATTTTGTTTATTTGTTTCTCCACGTTTCTGAATTGCTCCCTCCCTCTGTATAAATGTGGGTTCATTGGTGCTCTCTGTGGTAATTTACTTGCAGATGTTTCATTACCAAAGTAGGTAACATCATCAGTGCTATGAGTGGGAGTCACTATTTATATTTGTTGCTCCTTGGTAGTTCCCTAATTAGACTGTTGTTTACTATTTAATTGTTTCTCAAACAGGCCAACAATAAACAACACTCTCCATCGATCCATCCATCCACCTACTTACTTACTTACCTAATTAGCTATACTTATCATCTCTTTCATATCTATGTAAATGTGTATGTAAATGTGCGTCTTCTATAAATTTGAAATATACACCCCCACAAACACAAACATATTTTCCTTTATCTCTCTGCTCGTGTTGCCAAATGCTTATGTGGAGACTCACCCATGGTTTCTACATAATCCGTGCAACCATCCACGGTAATGACTTGGTCGGGCGTGTAGAACCGGGCGTTGCCGAAGTCCAGAAGTTTCAACAGGTTGGGCTCAACAATCACCATGTTTTCAGACCGCAGATCCAGGTGCAAGATGCCCTGCTTGTGAAGGTACTCGACGGCACTGAGAATCTGCCACAGGTAATCCCTGACCTGCACCTCTGAGTAAGAAGGCCTGGGAAAGAGAAGGAGCTTAAAAGCACAAACGAGGTCAGAGGTTTCCCTAAGATTCCACTCAGCCCAGTGATGTGAAGAAATTCAGACTGAATGGATAGGTTTGCCCCGGTTCGCCCGACATGGTAGTGGAATTAAGAGCTGGGTTGCAGAACCGGCAGCGACCCAGGCCTGCCACGCCCCTGAACCGGATCCCTCACCGCTGCTGGGCCACTGCCATTTTGGATTTTACTGACTGCGCATGCGCAGTTCACTGTAAATTGTTCTTGCGCATGCACAAAGAACAATTGACATCGAATAGTCCATGTGCGCCAGGCGTGAGTTCGAGCAGTCACTACTGCCGGTTCGCTTGTGGGCGCTGCACATGCGCACGCTTGATGCGTGCTGTGGAAATACTTCTATGCATGCGCAGAAGCAAAAAACAAGATAGGCGCCACCAGGAGGACCGGTTTGAGGGCATCACAGGCCTGGTTGCTGCCAGTTCTAGCAACCCAGGCTGTCAAACCACTACTGGTTTGCCCAAACTGAACCGGTCCGAAATGGTAGGAACCCACCTCTGATGCACACACAGAGCGGTTTGGAGCTGGTAGTAAAACTGGCAGCAACCCACCCTTGGACCAGATGCAGGCAGTCAGAATCAGAATCAGCCACAACTGAGCCCCGAATTTCCATTGCTAAGTGAGACAGCCATTAAGTGAGTTTGGTTCCATTTTACAACCTTTCTTGCCACGGAAGTTAAGTGAATCACCGCAGTCAGTAGCGGGATTGTTAAGCGAATCTGGTTTCTCCATTGACTTCGATTGTCAGAAGGTCGTTAAAGGGGATCACGTGATCACGGGACACTGCAACCGTCATAAATACATGCCAATTATCAAGCATCATCTGAATTTTGATCACATGGCCAAGGGGAGGCTGCTACGGTTTCTAAGTGTGGAAAATGGTCATTTTTTTTCAGTGCCATTGTAACTTTGGAGGGTCACTGAGCAAACGGTTGTAAATCAAGGACTGCCTGTATTGCTGAAATAGTCATAAGTGCAAGGACTGTACAAAGTTTTTTTTTTAGCACCATCATAACTTCAAAAGATTTTTAAATGAATGTTCATAAATTGAGGACTGGCTATAGGTTGGTCAAATAGAAAGAAATATAGCTACTGTGTTTTTTGGAGTATGATACACACTCCCCTCACCCCCCACCCAAAGGAGGCTGAAAATTTGGGTGTATCTTATACTCCGAATGCAGATTTTTTGAAGCGTTTTTTTTCAGCCCTAGTGAGATGCCCACGAGTGAAGTCGCTTCACTTGTTAGCACCCCATTAGGGCTGAAAAAAAGCCTCAAATATTTTTACTGCAGCATACTCTTGGAAAAATTTCCCAGTTCCGTCCAGCTAGGAGAAGCCAAGGACAATTTAAAGGCTGCCTTAAGAGGTACTACTTTTGTCCAGTTTCTATTTTTGGGAGATAATCCCCTCAAGGGCAAGGCAGAGAGTTTCTGTGACTATGTGGGGATAATCCCTTTAAGGGCAAGGCAGGGATTTTTTTCCTATCTGCTATCTGAGGTTTCTCAATGGTTTCCTCCAGGCAAGTGCTGGGCTGGTTTGTTGATTCAGCTTTGTTACATTTTTACTACTCCCTGGAGAAAGAGAAAAAGTGGCAAAAAGTGTCATTTTATTATACTATTGTATTTGCTTGTTTTTCTTGTGTTATGGGAATAAAAATTAATATCTGGTAGGCAGAATTCCCCCCTCTCCCCTATTTTCCTCCCCAAAAGCGAAGGTGTGTCTTATACTCTGAAAAATATGATATTTACCTTCCAGCTAAGGCATGAAGCAGCTCGGGCCCCACACAGAGTTCGACAATCAGCACAAGGTGGCGTGGACTCACATAGGCACCCTGCAGTTGCCCTACGTTTGTGTGGTGTAGTTTCCTTAGGATCTGGTATTCCTGTAGGATGGCGTCTTTCTCTTCCAGCTGATACGGGATGATTTTGGCAGCCAATGGATTCCCGCTGAATTTTTCCCGGCATTGTTTGATGATGCTGAAGCGGCCCCTGAAAAAAGAGAACCCAAACATCACTGGGGGGGGGGTCAAAAAGAGACCGGACAACCTTTTGACCAGAATGGTATAAGATCTCCTGCTCAAGCGGGGGGTTGGACTAGATGACCTCCGAGTCCCTTCCAACCCTATGATTCTATGAGGTCTTTCACTCCTAAAATCCTAAGAATTTTTGGATTAAATGGGATTATTTTGGGGGATTAAATTGGGATTGGCATGTGCAGAAAATGGTGCCAAATATAACACTACTACAGGTGGTCCTTGACTTACAACCATTCGTTTAGTGACCAGTTTAGTGGCACTGAAAAAAGTGACTTATGGCCATTTTACAAAATCTTGACATCTCAGCATCCCCCACTCCCCGGTCACATGATCAAAATTTGGATGCTTAGAAACTGGTTCATATTTACGACGGTTGCAGTGTCCCACGGTCCCACGGCCCCCTTTTGCGACCTTCTGACAAAGAAAGTCAACGGGGGTGTGCCAGATTCATTTAACAACCATGTTACTAATTCAACAACTGTAACGATTCGTTTAACAACTGGGGCAGGAAAGGTTGTAAAACAAAGCAAGATTCACTTAACAACCACCTTGCTTAGGAACAGAAATGTTGGGCTCAATCGTGGTCGTAACTCAAGGACTACCTGTATTGCGTGAGCTAAATTGGCTACTGAAATCTCCGGGTGCAATTCGAAGTAGTGATTGTCACCTTTAAAGCCCTAATGTGATGTGGGTTTGAGTTACCTATAGCAGTGATCTCCAACCTTGGCAACTTTAAGACCTGTGGACTTCAATTCCCAGAGTTCCTCAGCCAGCAAAGCTGGCTGAGGAACTCTGGGAATTGAAGTCCACAAGTCTTAAAGTTGTCAAGGTTGGAGACCACTGACCTATAGGACAGCCGTTTTCTCTACCTGTTGAATTGGATCTTGCTTGTAGGGTCATGGGGGCAGATGCTGTCAGCCAAAGAACGTTGCTTGTCGGGAACTCGAAGACCTCGTCTTACGACCACAATTAAGCCCAAACTTTCTGCTGCTCAACCAGGCAGTTGTTGTGAGTTTCGCTCTATTTTACCACCTTTCATGCCAACGTGGTTAAACGAATCACTGCAGTTTCATGGTTGTTAAGCGGATCTTCTTCAATCTTCCCACGTTGACTTTGCTTGTCAGAAAGCCGCTAAAGGGGATCGCATGACCACCACCACCCCCAGGACACTGCAACCGTCATAAGTACATGCCAGTTGCCAAGCATCTGAATTTGCCAAGGTGGCGCAGTGGTTAAATGCAGCACTGCAAGCTACTGCTAGATCAGCAGGTCAGCGGTTCAAATCTCACCGG